GCTATGACACTGAGGTTGAATTAAAATTTGATGGTAATGTAGTCCTTAAGGGGTTGTTTTTCATCCCAACGATAGATAAATTTGTGTTTTATTTGACTGGTTCCCCACCCCTTATTTTTTTAAAAGAGCCACAAAAATTATTTTTGCATTTTTATTGCAGTGGCATCATTCGAGATCTTGTATTTTAATTCCATTCTTAGGAATATAAACCATTAATTTTTCAACAATGAAAAACAAAATGAAACAAATGCTCACATGTTAAGACAGGGTGGCAAGATCCCAATACAAAGGGGAAAGTAAAAGAAGGTCTTACTCTAACAACGAAGGTTTCTATATATAAAAAAAAAACTGTTGCCCAAAGCGATGGGTAAGGCCGCCGTTTAAACAGTGGGGTTGTCGTTGAAATCTCGCGTGGATTGTCCCATGATGTTTTCCGTAAAATACTCGCAAAGCTTCAGACCAAAGAATCTAGCTTGAAGTTTTTTTCAAGGATTCTCCAGAGTCTAAGCGAATTTATATTATTAGCATGTGGACCTAACCTCTACTCATGTCAAATTCCAAAATCACTTCTCCAGAAAATGACTACAAAAAATACATACCATCTTGAACCAGTTATCAGTCCTCTCAGACAATTAAATGCGTCCCCACGGCCACTCCCCAGTGTGATAACGGCTTGTCATCTTCATTACAAAACGCTATATCTAGTATCAACAACTCAGGTGACATCAGAAACGTGCTAAGGCGGATCGCAAGATTTGTGTCTATTACAAATGCTACTCTACAATTATTATTATTATTATTATTATTATTATTATTATTATTATTATTTTTGTATGTACGTGTGTGATGTCTTGAGGAGGAGGTAAGGCAATTTAGAATAAAAACAACTGCATCCAAGTAGTATTGCCAATAATGCTTTCAAATGAAATTGACCGAGAACTCTTTGAAAACTTCGAACTTACTGATTTTAGATTTAGACATGGAGTGATTTTAGAATTGACGTTCATTTAAGGGTTGAAGTGACGCTGTCTTTATAAAAACCGAAATTATCAAAACAGTCAGTCGGAAGTGTTAACTAAAGTCAACAATAATTAGTAAGTTACATAATAAATAAAGGAGAACTGTAAACACTGAAGGCAACGTTCTTAGACTCATTTTCAGTCTAACCAACAGCCCAGCCATTCCTGATGTGGGTCTGTCGCACTGCCTCCCAGACGCTCAGAAATTCAGTGGTGTTTTCACAGTTTCGTGTTATTGTCGAAGGATTTTGGTCAATATCAACACCAGTTTCTTTGGAACTGATAACATAACACATCGTTAATGAACCGTCTGACGGTACGAGATCCCTGTGAGAACTAGAAACCCAATCAGTTTACTCACTTTTCAAATTCCAGCACCTGCAGGTTAGCAGTACTTATCCGAACGAGAAGCGAGTTAAACCCAGTTGACATTACGTTTTCACTAAATTTAGTCAAATTCTAAGTGTTTCAACTTGACAAATATGGTGCCTGTTCTTCTCCCTTTATTTTCGTGCATGTGGAACATTGTTTAAATAAAATCATATTTTGGCTTTGAAAAGGCTTCTCCCGCCCTTTTCAAGTTGCCCTTGAAATTTCATTCACTCGACATTAAAGTAAATTTTATCAAATATTTCTACTGCCACGTATGAAGTTAAGCAAGCTGCGTTAGAGGTTGTTAATTCGAAGTTTTCAAAGAGTTCTCAGTCAATTTCATTTGAAAACACTATTGACAATACGACTTGGATGCAATTGTTTTTATTCTAAAGTGTCTTACCCCTTCCTCGAGACATCACACACGTACATATATATTATAATAGCAATTGTAGAGTAGCATTTGTAATAGACACAAATCTTGCGATCTTAGCAAGTTTTTGATTTCACCTGAGTTGTTGATACTAGATATAGCGTTTTGAAATAAAGAGAAAAGCCGTTATCACACTGGGGAGTGACCGTGGGGATGCATATAATTGTCTGAGAGGGCCGATAACTGGTCCGAGATGGCATGTATTTTTTGTAGTCATCATTTGGAGAAATGATTTTGGAATTTGACATGAAAAGAGGTTAGATCCACACGCTAATAAAATAAATTCGCCTAGACTCTAGGCAATCTTGAACAAACTCCTAGTTAGATTCTTGGTTCTGAAGCTTTGCGAGTATTTTACGGGGAAACAGATCCTGGGTCAATCCACGCGAGGTTTCAGCGACAGAGCAATCTCGGGCTCGTGTTTTCAAACGTTATAATTGTAGCAACTAAGCATATCGACCAAAAGCCATTATACATTTATAATTGTTCAAGACATACCAATGTATAAAATAAACTAAAAACCAAGTTCTTGGATTTCACAGGTAGGTGGCGACTTTTTCATCAGTACCCTACGAAGCCAGCATTGAAAGAAACATGTAGCTACGAAATGGAGTCAAAGCGGCCTTATCCATCGCTTTGGGCAACAGTTATTTTTATTGTTGAAGTAAGACCTTCTTTTACTTTCCCTCTTGTGCTGCGATCTTGCCACCCTGTCTTAACATGTGAGCGTTTGTTTCATTTTGGTTTCCATTGTTGAAAAATTAATGTTCTACATTCCTAAGAATGGAACTAAATTACAAGATCTGGAATGATGCCTCTGCAATGAAAATGTAAAAATATTTGGGCTTTTTTTTAAAAAACAAGATAAGGGGTGGGGAAGCAATCAAATAAAACACAAATTTATCTATCGTTGGGATGAAAAACAGCCCCTTAAGGACGACATTACCATCACATTTTAATTCAACCTCAGTGTCATAGCATATGGGCTAACTTATACAAGAAGCGAAGAGATTTGTTACATTCCTCTTTACGCTTTGGTGCAAATACTGGCTAAGATGAGTTATTTGTAAAAAGAAAAACAAAGGCTTCAAAAATGTCGGTCCGTCACTTGGGTTTTTTGGGTATTTGATATTTTTCAACCTAAAATTAATTTCCAAGAATTGATTTTAAAAAATTAAAATTTCAGTGGTCACATACGTCATGTGTTCATTTAAGATCTTTTCCAAGACTACAATCAAGTAAATGCTGTAAAGTATCCGTGGTTTTGCGTTGCTCTATAATGGTTAAATCAGTGACCACAGAAGTTTTGCTCGGTGTTCTAGGAAAAATAAATTAAATAAGAGAAACAAATTTCTTCAAAGACATTTTTGTGTGGGCGACATAATACCTTTAGGTGTCGCATTTGAATCTTTTCAACCGTTAAAAGCGTTCATTGCTGGTTCACTATGTAATCAAATTATTACACACTGTTAGGTCGACCGTGAAACTGAAAAATATGGTTACCATCCCACAATATTCGAAGGGAATGATCATAACAGATCAAGTCCTTTTGTATAAATCAACTATTTCAGCTTCCTTTATATTTTATGCAATTTCGAGGGAGATAAAAAGTTAATAAAAACCAAAAAAGAGAAACTCTATCAGTTTTTCTAAATGTATTGATTTCTTAAACCGTTCTATAAATTATTCAATTTAAGCAGCGGGTGATAGGAATCAAACGCATATTTTGGATTGGAGAGATGCTTTTAGAGCGCGCAATAACTACGGCACAATGTGGGTACTAGTAAAAATTATTTACCAAGAATGGCTAGCTATAAAAAATTTAGTTTTCTCCATTAGCCTTT